GGGGGGGGGGGGGGGGGGGGGGTATTGGTGGTAAATATTCTGGTATAACTACATGATAACACATATCCTACCTTGCTGTGACAAGCATCTCTGTGTTTCACACTAAGAAACATTTAAAATGTCTTTTTGTTTTAACATGGTTGACTGATTTCATCTGTTAGAAATATTAGCTTGGCCTTGGTGAAATGATTGCAGCCACGGTAGAATGACACAGACAATCCTCTCAATAATTAAATACATGTAAACCAAGTAAAATAAACAAAATGGCAAATATAACTCTAGCATAAATCAGTAGTAACATGTAAGATAGCATAACATCCTTAAGCAATATCAAATGATATTTTATCAGACAACTGTAAAATGTTAAGAAAACATGCTGCTACGTGCTCTCAGAAGGTTTTAACACATGAATGCTAATGTGGAATAAAAAACCTTGTTAAAATTATGTTATAAATTAAATCAAACAATTACTAATTAAAACAAACATTATGAAATCCATGAGAATGATGACCATCTGAGTTTTGGGGTGGCTTGTCACCTCCCATTTTCAACCCTATTTGTACTGCTGAAAAAATATTGTGCAATAAAATGATTTATTATTTCTTCATATTATTCCCGACAAGTGATTGGCCAGAAGTGAATCACGTGTCCACCGATAAAAACTGATATTGACTTGGAGCGTGTGATTTTTGTTGAAGGACTGGGTGTTTCTAAAAATAGAATAATGACGTGTCTCCAAACGAACTTATCGTCCCCCTTCCGTAGCTTTTTGCTGTGTTTTTTCAGATTGCTTACATTACTGTTTAAAAATAATAAAACAATTGTAGCCTTTGACTTCGGTCAATACCTGGATTTATCGACCCGAGAAAAGATATATTCCTGCGTCCTCTGTCAATATATCTTTTCTCGGGTCAATAAATCCAGGTATCGACCTCAGCCAAAGGCTATAATTGAATAATAATATCAAATGTCAGTTATACAGTGAAATCTGATATAATTTTGCTGTTTTTGTTATGCTTTCCCAAAATTATGTTTGGGTTTTTGGAATATTTTTTGCGGAAAAAAATGCTGCAAAATTATCAACAAGTTCTCACGACTAATGCAGAAAACATTTGTAGTTTAGTGGGAAAGTAAACACAGAAAATGTAGGTTACATAAACATTTAGCAGCATTTTCTAGTTACAATTACAACTAGTGTTGGGAATCAGTTGAGATTTCAACATCGATGATCGGATATAATCGGTAAGTTTCAACCGAACGATTTTCGATTATTAATCGGTTAGCCTACCGTTACATAATCCTTAAAAATATATATTAATTTCAACTTTTCCGCGTAGTTTCGTATCTTTATTTTTTATCATACCATTTCAACGTAACAATCTTTATTGATAAACAGCTATCATTTTTTATTTTTTGCAATTAATTATGTTTAAATAGCATGATTGGTAAGAAGTTGTAGTTAAGAGTAAAATGACATAGAACTCCCGTTCTCTCTTAGTGAAAATGAAAGTAGAACTCGCACTTCCGGTTTTGAAAACAATCATCGATGTTGACATCTCATAATCGATTGTCGAGAATCGGTTGCCTTCCGATTAGATATCGATTATAATCTAACACTATATATATAATTACAACACAGGTATACAGATATCTACACAAGACCAAAATTGCACCAAATTCGATGTGAATCTAGTACACACAAAAAAATGTCCTCAATGTAAAAACCTAAAAAGTTCAAAAGTCTAAATGTTTCACAAGGAAATTTGAATATATTATTCAAAAGATAAATTTCAAATGGTCTCGGTTATATTTTTGGAAAAATTTAAAACAAAAACGTGAGTTAATTTTCATTTTCAGAAATAGGTTACACAATATGCTTAATAAAGGTTCTCTCTTTTCAATAAAACAACAAGGTCATTGAACTTTTGAATTCAACAGTACTTTTGAATAAATTACAATCTCTAACGCATCATTAAACTAACTATATTTTACAAAAATTTAATTATAAATAATTCCATACTTTTCATTCAATAAATACTTACAAACCTAGATTCTTACTTCTGCATGATAAACAATGACAGCTTTAAGCATCCTGACAATAGGCTAAATATCAAATAACACCCGAACAAAAATTGCATATGGATATGTTTGAATGCATAAAGCAACCTATAACTGCCCTATATCAAATACCTTGTCTGATTCGTGATGGGTTTTTTATACTGTAAAAAAAACATGTTTATATCCATCCAAAGTTCCTCTCATCATTATGTACGGAACAAAAAGTTGGACAACTCTTTTCTATATTAATGAATTTAAAAGTTCATTGTTTACATGCAACAAAAGAGCAGTAATAAAAGGATCCTATACACTGATGCATGGATCCAGAGCTTACAGCACATGATGTATGTAGCTTACAGCACATGATGTATGTAGCTTACAGCACATGATGTATGTAGCTTACAGCACGAGACGTATGGATCCTAGGCTTACAGCACATGATGTATGTAGCTTACAGCACGAGACGTATGGATCCTAGGCTTACAGCACGAGACGTATGGATCCTAGGCTTACAGCACGTGATGTATGTAGCTTACAGCATGTGATGATGGCCCTAGAGCTTACAGCACGGGATGTATGGAAATGGAACTTACAGCACATGATGTATGGAGCTTACAGCATGTGACATATAGATAATGAGCTTACAGCACGTGACATATGGAGCTTACAGCACATGATGTATTGAGCTTACAGCATGGTATGTATGGAGCTTACAGGACAGCTTACAGCGCATGATGTATGGAGATTACAGCACAGGATGTATGGACCTTGAGCTTACAGCACATGATGTATGGATCAAGAGCTTACAGCATGTCATGTATGGGTCTGTAGCTTACAGCATGTCATGTATGGATCCAGAGCTTACAGCACATGATGTATGTAGATTACAGCACGAGACGTATGTAGCTTACAGCAAAAGACGTATGGATCCTAGGCTTACAGCACGTGATGTATGTAGCTTACAGCAAAAGACGTATGGATCCTAGGGTTACAGCACATGATGTATGGAGCCTAGGATTACAGCACATGATGTATGGAGCTTACAGGACAGATTACAGCGCATGATGTATGGAGATTACAGCACAGGATGTATGTAGCTTACAGCACAAGACGTATGGAATTCTAGTCTTACAGCACATGATGTATGGAGCTTACAGCATGTGACATATAGATAATGAGCTTACAGCACGTGACATATGGAGCTTACAGCACGAGACGTAGGGATCCTAGGCTTACAGCCCATGATGTATGTAGCTTACCGCACATGATGTATGTAGCGTACAGCACAAGACGTATGGAATTCTAGTCTTACAGCACATGATGTATGTATCCTAGGCTTACAGCACGAGACGTATGTAGCTTACAGCACATGAGGTATGTAGCTTACAGCACAAGACGTTTGGATCCTAGGCTTACAGCCCATGATGTATGTAGCTTTCAGCACATGATGTATGTATCCTAGGCTTACAGCACGTGATGTATGTAGCTTACCGCACATGATGTATGTAGCTTACAGCACGAGACGTATGGAATTCTAGGCTTACAGCACATGATGTATGTAGCTTACAGCACGAGATGTATGGATCCTAGGCTTACAGCACATGATGTATGGATCCTAGGCTTACAGCACATGATGTATGTAGCTTACAGCACAAGACGTATGGATCCTAGGCTTACAGCACATGATGTATGTAGCTTACAGCACGAGACGTATGGATCCTAGGCTTACAGCACATGAAGTATGTAGCTTACAGCACGAGATGTATGGATCAGGAGCTTACAGCACATGACGTATGGATCCTAGGCTTACAGCACGTGATGTATGTAGCTTACAGCACAAGACGTATGGATCCTAGGCTTACAGCACGTGATGTATGTAGCTTCCAGCACAAGACGTATGGATCCTAGGCTACAGCACATGATGTATGTAGCTTACAGCACGAGATGTATGGATCAGGAGCTTACAGCACATGATGTATGGATCCTAGGCTTACAGCATGTGCTGTATGTAGCTTACAGCATGTGATGATGGCCCTAGAGCTTACAGCACGTGATGTATGGAAATGGAACTTACAGCACATGATGTATGGAGCTGAGAGCACGTGACATATGGAGCTTACAGCACATGATGTATGGAGCTTACAGCATGGTATGTATGGAGCTTACAGGACAGCTTACAGTGCATGATGTATGGAGATTACAGCACAGGATGTATGGACCTTGAGCTTACAGCATGGGATGAATGGATCCAGAGCTTACATCACGTGATGTATGGATCCGGAGCTTACATGTATGGATCCGGAGCTTACATGTATGGATCTGGAGCTTACAGCATGGGATGTATGGATCTGGAGCTTACAGTACAGGATGTATCGAGCTTACTGCACATACACATTTCTATACAATAAAATAATATTGACACTTTAAGAAATACTGATTCTGCCCTAATGACCATTTTGCAGTGCCACACTTGCTCAATATGTAGTGATGATCAAACATTTCAAACTAAAACTATAATATCATTGTAAAGTAAGTCTAACTGATACAGTTAGTGTAACACTATATACCACAAATGTTCGCCCCTCCAAATAATGACCCCTACTCGCCCAGTGTTAATTTGGCCTTTCACATTTACATGTAATTACTACACATATTACGTTGGTTACTAAAGTTGGCTGTAATAATAAATTTGTCATCATTGGGGAAAAAGACAAAAACTAAACTGCAGAGAAACTTTCCTGCTATACGGTACATGTATAACTTTTAAAACCAAACTTGCATGTTTTAATGCATTGGAAATTGTTAATTTGTAGTTTTTATGAAAATAATCAAATACTTGGATAGACCTGTCAATAAACTACACTTGAACTGAACACCCATATAAATGCAGTCTTGGTTTCACAATAACATATTTAAACCTGTAATTGTTATTGGACACTAACATATTCACTTCTAATATGTATTATCTGATGTTACATGTTCATATCATCTGAAATACTTACAATTTCAAATTCAAGACAAGAGGCCCATGTGCAATGGACAATGACGGCCAATATGTCAACTGAAACTTTGTATCAGGCGACCTAAAACGTCGGCAGAAACTCACAGATAACCCCCATTATGTTTTCAAGTTTGAGCTTTGACTGATTGCCGCCAAAATCTAATCAAGTGAAGATGTGACCCTACTACTGTGTTAATCTGACTAATATCTATTGAGGGGTTATGAGACATCCTGTACAAGGTTTTTACAGACGGACGGACACACTGACAAAGTGATAACCATAGATCTCCACTCAGTGGGAAGTATTAGATAACAAACTCAGTTCATGTACCATCAAATCAGAGTATGGAGACAAGACCAGTGTAATGTATAATAAACCTATAAACACAATATTAATTATCTATTAAAAGCGAGATTAGCTAGCGAGAGCAGATTGAGAGCCGCCTCTTCTTTCTCTGCCCCTTTAGGGGTCTCTGTTGTTTGAGATGTTTCTGTTGAAGTGTTGTCCTGGTTTGGTTTGGGTGGGACCTGATTCGAGAGATTTTGGTTATCCTCTACACCGTTGGTGACAGTATCTGGTTTGTGGTTATTGTCCATTGTCACCACCTTGGTTTGACGTACATTTGTACCCAAATCTACAACATTTTGAGATCTGTAAAGTGCAACATTGTTGTTTAAAACCTCACTCTTAGGCTCCACTTGAGGGTTGTTTTGTAATGGAATTTCTGCCTGAACTGGCAAAGACACAGAAACTGCTCCTTGTTGAACGAAAGCAGCCTGGGGGATTTGGGGGGATTTCAGTAACTCAGCAATATTCTGAGTCTTCAACACTTTCATATTATCTGTGTTTGACGGGGAGTTCTGCTGACCTTGCTGTGGGAAAATAATCTGTGTCTTTTTGGAAGTGCCAGGCATCACAATGTAGCCCTGGCCAGATCCAATCAGGCTACTAATGTTAGGGGAGACCTGATACCCTATCTGTGTTCTATTGTCGGTTTGAACATGGAAAGTCTTATGATTTGTGGTGTCAGCCATTTTGTTGTTAGGAGCTACACCAGCTGTACTAGCTACAGAGGAATGACCAGTAAGTCTGACCGTTATATCTTGCACATTGCTTTGTTGTTGACCAAGGAGCTGGCTGATCTTAAGATTTGAGGATGCAGTAATTTGGTTGCGGTTCACAAGTCCAACATTGTCTGTAGCTGGAATTGTTTTTCCTGTTGTCAAAGCTGGAGAAATGATGTGGTGCAGTTCGTTTCCTGTTAAAGTGCGAGACGTGCTCCCTAATTGCTGAGACAACACACTGGAAGTTACATTCACTGTGGCAGTCCTAACAGATTGTGGAGTATTCGTGATAGAATGATGAGACGCAACACTAGCAGTCACAAATGTTGGAGACACCACCCCTTTGGTACTCCTTGTGGATACACCACCAACTGAGGGAGACATGTTGATAGCCGACACACTAGGAAGCACTCTCCCTACTGAGGGAGACATGGTGATAGCCGACACACTTGGAAGCACTCTCCCTACTGAGGGATTTACCTTTGTAGATTGATTGGTGAGGATACTGCCCGGGCTGGAAGTAACAATAGCAACATCATTTGATCTGGCTACACTAGCAGTTAGACTTTCAGTAGCACTTGAAGACTGTGACCCAAACACAGGTTTAGTGGGGACTACATATCTCACCATATTAGCACCAGACACAATTGTCACTGGAGGATTGATGGGACCTTTCTGACCTAGGGATAGCGGTGGTGACACCGTCTTGGCCTGGGGGAGGAGCACCTTAAGTACACCATTGTCAACTGTAACTGGCACGCCTTGAGGGGTGACCAGCTGACCACCAATATTGTATAGAAAGAGTTTTTGGGATCCACCTACTTGGGAGGTGGTGGCTTTTGCAGGCGACAGGAGCGGTCCTGTATTGGGACTGACGATGGTATCTGGGAGACTCATGACCACAGATTGTTGAGATGGAGTCTGCAAGCGAACTTGTGAGGCAGCTGTGTTAAACCTAACAACATTTGCCTGTTGTACTGTCCCAATGGTAGTTGTGTTGGTCTTGACAACACCTAATTTCTGGTGGAGAGGATTGGTGGGGAGGACTGGTTTTTCTGTGGCCTGTGAAGTACTGACAGGGGCAACAGATCCCATCACAGGTGTCTGCAACTGAGTTTTTGATACATTTGCTTGCACAGGTTTCCCGTTAGCTGCTTGAAGATCAAAGTTTAGCTTTACTTTTGAGAGTTGCGTGGCATTTTGGTCTTGTGTTACCTTGGCAGAGGACACTAGAGGGACTTTTATTTGTGTTTGTTGTAGGACTGGCGAGTTGAGTCTCAGGGTGAGCTGCTTTGGCTGCTGGGTGCCTGTTCCAATGCTGGTACCCTGTAGGCGTTTTTGAGGTGACAAAAGCAACATTGTCTGGCCACCCTGGAGATTTTGCTTACCAGGGGGTCGAATCATGGCCTGGCCTTTCACTCCAGGTGAGGCAGGGACCTGTAATACCATATGATTAGGAATCTGATTGACTAGAGCGGACGATGACTGTCCAGAAAGCTGGAGCTGTGCTGCAGCCAGTTGTTTGATAAGGTCTGAGGATGACCCCTGTCCAATGTTACCAAGCACCACGGGAGCCTGGTTTGCTATTGGACTGGTCAATTGTTGACCAATTATTTGACTGCTGCTGCCCGACAAACACAACTGCTGACCAATAACTGAAGGTGAGGTACTTGGAATGTTCATTTGCTGATTTGGCAATCGTAGGATCTGGCCTGAACTTCCAGCGACCTTGACCCCAGGCTGTCCAAGTAACTGAAGATTTCCTGCCATTGTTGTTTGACCTATGACACCAGTCTTGTTAAGGGGGTTGGCTATCTGCCCTAAAACTGTTGCGAAATTTCCCATAGGACTAGCAAGCTGGCCAAGTAGGGGAGAGGTCAGCTGGAGTGGCGCCTGAGGAACTGGCCCAGGGGAGGAGGGAACCATCTGACTAGCCTGACCTCCAGAGGACCCTGTAGAACCTGCCAGTGTAACGATAGGGTAGATATGTCCGAGTGTGTTATTGGAGCTTACTAAGGAAGGATTAGACACACAAGTCGAAACTGTCGACGACACCATGTTAGAAAGGTTGATGGAATTGTTCCCAAGAATTGTCACATTGTTACCGCCTTCTTGTAGTTTGAGCTGGCCTCCAACATTGACAAAGTTCATCCCTTGGATCAGACCTGGCATCAGAAGACCTTGACCTTGGGCCTGGAGTTTTGTAATTCCCCCTAGGTCCAGCAGAGTTGATGCCCCACCTCCCACTGCCTGGAGACGCCCCTTCTGGGTGTCCACGACGGAGCTGGACGATTTGTCATTACAAACTGATGGCTTAACACTAGCTGACGATATCACACTTGTTGATAGCACAGGGGTGGTATTAATTATCGAGCTCACAGATTTGGTCCCAATAGCATCGCTTCCTCCAGACCTAACAAGTCCAGTTATGAGATTTCCTGCCTGACTATGCACTCCTGCTGCGAACAATGTCTTCTCCTGTGTCCCAGCAATGCTCTGAATCAAGTTGCTAGGTGAGGATCCATAGTTACTTTGTACAAAACTTGCAGGCTGAACCACCTTCCCACAATTTTGCAGTGTTTTTCTCATGTTCTGCTTTATTGTGCTGTTACTTTGAGACACACTTATCAGCTGATTCCCAGACACTAATGATGTCACACTTCCTGCCTTGAATCCCAGCTGGACAGGCATGCTGCTCAGGCTACCTACTGCACCTTGTGATAGGGTTTGGAGATTGAGGGCCCCTGAAGTGAGATTTTGGCTAGTGATAATTCCTGGTGTGATGGTTTGCTTGTTGACAGTCCCTGGTGCGAGAGTTTGGGTTTTGAGTATACTTTGAGTAATAGTTTGGTTGTTGAGTGCCCCCTGGTTTAATAACTGAGTGTTGGCTTGCTGTTGTAGAGCAGCTTGGGGTATGATCAGCCCTTGAGGGGTCAAGTATCCTTGCATTACTCCCTGCTGTGATTGCTGTACACTGTGTGGCAGCACCTTCACAGTCATGTTCTTCTGATCTTGTGGTTGTTGTGCAGCTGCAAGAACCATATTTCCTAGTTCACTGGATTTGTTGAGAGTTGTCAACCTGATTTGGTTATTTCCAGCCTGAAGTTGTGTCAGCAATGATTGGTTGGTCTGGCTTGGTGGCGAGGTAACATTTACTGAGGTGTGACCTGACAATGCCATAGGATCTAATCTGGGTGCTGTAGGTATGGGACTTTTCATACTCTGTATGGTTTTCGTGACATTGTAGCGTGGCTGAATGGCAGGCATCGCTGACGGAGCTGGGACTTTGATGTTCACTGTGGGGAGAGAAGTAGGGACATCCGTCACCACGGCCTGGACTGCAGAGTCCAATGCAGCCTTACTTGGGATCTTTAAAGTCTTTATCCCAGTGGACGTGGGATGTAACAACACAGTGGGTGTAGAGGATGTTATTTCACTAGTCTTTTTAACAAGAATGGGCTTTGGAGATTCTCCTGGTATTTTTTCTGCATCCTTTCGTGCCTCCAGCAAAGTTTTCACAGTGACATTGTTTGCGTACTTGTAAGGCTGTCTGTTAGGAGAAGTGGATGAGATGTTTGTGGGGGACAGAGAACTACTGTTTGATGTCACCTGGGGTTTACCAACTGTTGGCATCGCCACACCACTCACTACACCAACACTTCCTACACTCCCCTCAATGTTTGCATTTGATACTTCTTTTAACGCAAAAGTGGACTCAATTTGAGAAGTGGACATCACAATGCCTCCAGTTGATGCAGTGATTGCATGGTGTAGTTGCCCGATGGATGAGTTTGTAGAAGGCACATTCATATGTATATTGACGAGAGCATTGTTGATCTGGGGAATCCTTTTCTTGACCACAGACGACCCTGGTGTTGCTGGTGCAGCAGAGCTCACTTGTGTACTAACTGGGAGTCGTATCATTGTCTTTGGAACACTAGACTGGGGCAGCCCACCAGGTGTCTGTTCTGATACTGTCCTCACAGGTGTGTTCTGTGCGGTCTGGATCTGTAATCCAGCAATGGTCTGGCTCTGACTAGAAGAGGTGGGTCCCTGAGGGTTGACTGTGGTGAGCAGGACCATGCCAGACTGGTTAGGGCCTGGTGGGATCTTGAGGGCATTGGACTTAATGAGTTGTTGTAGGACAGACGGAGGTAGAGTGTTAATGTTGGCTGCATAGTACTGAATCTTGCCACCTGCAGAGGCCATACTTGGGAGCTGGGGGTCTACAGCACCACCGACCATAGAAAGACCTGAAATAACAAATTTACACTAAGATAAATTATGCCTTTTGTTAACATATTAATTCAAAGGTGTATTTCACAGCCAAACATATGAACTGATCGTGACCAAAAACCAACTGGAATGAATTATTTTGATTGATGCGAGCATAAATTTTAGATACCTTAAATATGCTGAGTAAGTGGAACAAAAGGCCTAAACAGCCTGTATTGCTCTAGAAATTATGTCAAAATGTTCTCATTAAAAGTAATACAAGTCACCAGGAGTGGGGCCAGACCAAAGATAGTATGAATTGTGTTTGTATCTTAGTGCAAAGTAATCAAGAAAATGAGTATGTAGTTTATTGTTATATATATTATTATGGGGAGGGGATCTCAAATATTTCTATCTTTATAACCCAAGGACTTATTACAAAGAGGCATGTCTAAAACTCATGTTGGTGTTGTATCTTCATACTTACATGTAGGTATATATAAATATAATGATGGGAATTTTGACTTCAAAGTTGTAACCCATTTTTGGCCCTGCCACTCATGATTATTGTCATTATGTACTAACATACCACCTTTAATTGAAAATCTCTCCAAATTTGTTAATTTTTTTTCCCAAATTTAGGGAAGTTGTTGACAGTACTGTGTTGACAAATCAGAATTGAGAATTTTATTTGAGCACTGCCATTATACAAACACATACTAAGTTTACCCATTTCAAGAAAAAAGTGTCTGTAATCTAATCAGAACAGAAGGATGTACCAGTCACTAACAAATATGTTTACCCATTTCAAGAAAAAAGTGTCTGTAATCTAATCAGAACAGAAGGATGTACCAATCACTAACAAATATATGTCTGTAATCTAATCAGACTAGAAGGATGTACCAGTCACTAACAAATATATGTCCGTAATCTAATCAGAACAGAAGGATGTACCAGCTGTCACTAACAAATATATGTCTGTAATCTAATCAGAACAGAAGGATTTACCAGTCACTAACAAATATATGTCTGTAATCTAGTCAGAACAGAAGGATCTACCAGTCACTAACAAATATATGTCTGTAATCTAGTCAGAACAGAAGGATCTACCAGTCACTAACAAATATATGTCTGTAATCTAGTCAGAACAGAAGGATCTACCAGTCACTAACAAATATATGTCTGTAATCTAGTCAGAACAGAAGGATCTACCAGTCACTAACAAATATATGTCTGTAATCTAGTCAGAACAGAAGGATCTACCAGTCACTAACAAATATATGTCTGTAATCTAGTCAGGACTGGTACATTCTTCTGTTCTGACTAGATTACAGACATATTTGTTAGTGCCTGGTACATCCTTCTGTTCTGATTAGATTACAGAAATATATTTGTTAGTGACTGGTACATCCTTCTGTTCTTATTAGATTACAGACATATATTTGTTAGTGACAGCTGGTACATCCTTCTGTTCTGATTAGATTACAGCCATATATTTGTTAGTGACTGGTACATCCTTCTGTGCTGATTAGATTACAGACATATATTTGTTAGTGACAGCTGGTACATCCTTCTGTTCTGATTATATTACAGACATATATTTGTTAGTGACTGGTACATCATTCTGTTCTGATTAGATTACAGACACTTTTTTCTTGAAATGGGTAAACATATTTGTTAGTGACTGGTACATCCTTCTGTTGTGATTAGATTACAGACATATATTTGTTAGTGACTAACAAATATATGTCTGTAATCTAATCAGAACAGAAGGATTTACCAGTCACTAACAAATATATGTCTGTAATCTAGTCAGAACAGAAGGATCTACCAGTCACTAACAAATATATGTCTGTAATCTAGTCAGAACAGAAGGATCTACCAGTCACTAACAAATATATGTCTGTAATCTAGTCAGAACAGAAGGATGTACCACTCACTAACAAATATATGTCTGTAATCTAATCAGCACAGAAGGATGTACCAGTCACTAACAAATATATTTCTGTAATCTAATCAGAACAGAAGGATGTACCAATCACTAACAAATATATGTCTGTAATCTAATCAGAACAGAAGGATTTACCAGTCACTAACAAATATATGTCTGTAATCTAGTCAGAACAGAAGGATCTACCAGTCACTAACAAATATATGTCTGTAATCTAATCAGAACAGATGGATGTACCAGTCACTAACAAATATATGTCTGTAATATAATCAGAACAGAAGGATGTACCAGCTGTCACTAACAAATATATGTCTGTAATCTAATCACAACAGAAGGATGTACCAGTCACTAACAAATATGTCTGTAATCTAGTCAGAACAGAAGAATGTACCAGTCACTAACAAATATATGTCTGTAATATAATCAGAACAGAAGGATGTACCAGCTGTCACTAACAAATATATGTCTGTAATCTAATCAGACTAGAAGGATGTACCAGTCACTAACAAATATATGTCTTTAATCTAATCAGAACAGAAGGATGTACCAGTCACTAACAAATATGTCTGTAATCTAGTCAGAACAGAAGAATGTACCAGTCACTAACAAATATATGTCTGTAATCTAATCAGAACAGAAGGATGTACCAGTCACTAACAAATATATGTCTGTAATCTAATCAGAACAGAAGGATGTACCAGTCACTAACAAATATATGTCTGTAATCTAATCAAAACAGAAGGATGTACCAGTCACTAACAAATATATGGATTCTGTTCATCATTAAACTTTTCCAAAGTATTACCATCATGAAAAGCATGTCCACATTCAGCAATACTGCAAAAATCAAAATAAACATTCCTTACTTTTTCAAAATTATTCGTGAACAAAAAGTTTTAAAGAATTACTGTGAACCTTCCAATAAGTCTTTTGTCAATGGTGTGCATGATGAATTGAATCCAAAGAAGATAGCTTCCTTCTATTTACCTGGTGTTGTCAGTTTTGTGATCGCTGGTCTGATGTTGGTTTGTTTGTTCCCAGGCTGGAACAGAACTGTTCTCTGAGGGGTAGATGATAGTGCTCCAGGATGAGATGACACAGACAGACCGCCCCTGGGGCTGGGATGGCGCGATGTGGAGAGCAGCTGCTGTATGACGGGATGGGATGCCTGCTTGGAGGAGAGAGTATGTTGTGACAGGCCCTGCAACAGTCTGGCATGTGACATGCTCTGAGAGTGCTGCTGTAACTGGGCTGGCCTCTGTAGTAGTGACAAGGCCTGGGGTGGAAACATCTTGTCCCCTGATACAAGTTTCACATTTGAAGGCAGGCCTGTCAGTAGGGTGTGATTCCCAGAACTCGTCTGCAACAGGATCTGACTAGCGGAACTATCGTCAACAGGACCAATAGAGGGTAGCGTCTTCCCAGGACGCTGCAGGATGTTTGGCACATGTGGTACAGTTGTTGGCAAAGAAACATTGACTAGCTTGCGTTTCTTGGGCGTTCCAGGATCTTCGGAGTTGTTTGGAATGACACGTCTTTTCCGAATACGTCCCCTAGAGCTCACATCAATGTCATCACAGTCGTCCATGATTTCTGTAAGAATCAAGTCAGCACATAGAATCAAGTCAGCACATAGAATCAAAGAAATCCTATTTTCCATCCTAAAAGGGTTTTTTGTATGCTGAACAATTGTAACTTTTTATCTAAGTTAGGACAACGCTGTCATCAATCTACCCCACTCTGAAGACAAGTTAGAACAATCTAAGTACATATGTAGCAACTTAAGGTACGACAATATGGACAAAACAATCCTTCTTCTTCAGTAAACAGGTTTAAACCATGAAGCCTTGGAGCATACAATGTTGATAAAATTCTGTTAGTATTATCCACAAACCATTTATAGTTACCCAGATACGGACATAGCAATTATTCTTTATATGAGAAAGTATAAGGAAGTGACTGAAGTAAACATGAAGATCAAATTCATCATTTGGAACATGAGTTCACAAGAGCAACCCTAGCTGTAATTGTTATTCATGTAGCACATAAGTTACCAAAACAGCGAAAGAGCTTTATTTTCTTTTTTTGCTTAAGTGCACAGACTCACTTTTTCCTTTATCAACTGATCATGAGTGGGGGACAAATAGCTCTTAACAAATGAAATTATTCTGACTATAGAGGTTTTAGTGACTCTAGTATATAGTAGTCAGATTTGAATCATTTCGTTAAACATATTTCAAATTTAGTGCATTTATAAATGAACTTGTGCATCCCTACCAGTCTGAGTTGTGGAGATATTGTTTGTTAATGCAGCTGCAGAAGTTGTCGTTTGTTGGCTGACCACATCGCTCTCTTCATCCTTATCCTCATTCTCACTCCCATCCGAGTCAGAATTCTCGCCATCCTCAGACTCGGATGAGTCAGAGTGCTCAGATTCCCACTTTTCCTGAATTTCCCAAAAACAGCACTTAGTCTCAGCCATAATGATTTAACACAGTAACATTTGACTTATAACAGACGCATTTGGGTCTCAATTTGGTAGAAATCTGTCCTGTAGTTTAGGAGATGACTTTAAATCAAAATCGGACACTTTGACCCAGTCCCTCATGATCAATCCCCAAAGTAGGTCAACCTCTTTATATAATTTATGATCCCCATGGCCTAAGGAATCAAGCACGAAAATGTTTTTGTAGAGGATTTTTTTTTACACAATGACAGTTATCTCTTTTTCACATATTTCAAAAATGATGTAAATAAATTGAAAATATGATCTAGAAATTGTCAATTTATTATTCTTTGATGGAAACCAAATTACTCTCAACCATGCATACTTATGACATCTGTTAGCATTGTATACATATGTAACCAGAGGCTATCATGTGCACCCACACATGCATTGTCACAGGGATCTCAATATTTTACCAAACACTATTCAGTGCTCCAGATAACTTTTGAACATGTGGGGGTTTTCACCCCTACCTCTCCAAAGTGTTGGGGTGAAAACTTAAATTTTAAACAATGAAGTGCTGTAAAAGCAACGTTACCTGAAAATGTTGAAATAAGATGAATAATTTGTATGTGTTATTCTTATAGTATACGGTTAAGAATGACTCAAATTCATATTTTTGTGTTGTCTTGACATGTGGTATTATTTTTCCATTTCACTGTGATTGTGTTTAAATGTTTAAACCCAAAACTCAATGAGTTGCATATTTTTTTCGTTTGAATAGTACACATATCCTTCTTCGTTTTTTATCATTCCATATTCGAACAGCCCTTCTTGGCTCAAAGTCAGTTCAGGTCCTAACATGTTGATTTTCATCAATGTATTGACAGTTGCTGCTTTGAGAGAGCATCTTAACCGTGACTTTAGGCGGTTTTGCACACTGAATGATCGTTCACATTCTATTGATGTTATACACAAGGTTAATGCAATTTGTGCTAAAACAGAAAAGTTTGGAATCATTTTTGAATGAAGTAAAACTACCCGCCGATTGTTGACATTTTGATAGCGCCATAATTTAATTCTCTCTCGTGTTAGCGTTTGTAACAGGAGGCATTGATATGCAAGCGTCTCGGTGACTCACTGTAAGCGTATTATAATATGCTAAATTGGACCCGGAGACTGACGCAATGTTCCGGATTTTGCTTGCGTGAATTAAGCAAGTTCATTTTTTTCTTTTGCGTAATTTGTGAAATATCGTACGTGAATACGCATTCACGCAAGCTATCTGGAGCACTG